ACCTCTTATGAACATGCCTGGAGCCACCCTTCCGCTCTGTGAAAGATTACCCCTGTCGTGACAAGACAAACTAGCTTGAGACCTGAGTTTTCAGAAGAAACGGACACCTTCTGCACTATGCGGCCGCTTATCGAGATGGTGGGTATCTCTACAAAATGATGCGGAAAAGCGGAGCAGATCCGAATATATACGACTGTGTAAGTGAATCGCGTTTCCAAGGAGGTCAGCTATACAAATAAACACATTTCAGAACGGTCGTCCAGCCAAGTACTATTTGAAGCACATCGGTGAGATCGACCTTTCCGCAATGAGACTTGACACGAAAGCAGCGCTGAAGCAGGTAAAGAATCAGTGTAATGGAATTTTCTTTGCGATTTTCGACCTGAAGGATCGAGCATTCAGGTTCTCCACAATCGTGTAGCGCCGAGTTACCTAGAGTCTTCCATCCAGCAATGGTTACGAGATGGACAACTGGCGAAGCTTGAACAGCTTGTGCTTTCTGGTGCGTACCCAACAGTATTTTATGCTCTCTCTTCAGTATTGATGGGAAGCGTTTCTCGAATGCTCGAAAGCTCGCACAAATTGTTTCAGCTTTCATGATGTGCTTGTACCTGTAAAGATATCGTTTTCAGAAACTGGGATCAAACTGGGGCCGTGGGTAGTTGCTAAGAGGAGATCCTGGAGAAAGGGAAACTTCACCATCGTCACTGATGAAAGAGTGGTAGAGGCACGGCACATATGTTGACAATTTTGCAGACTACGCACGCACCCCTTCTTCTGATTTCTCTTCATTACGATACTCTTCAAGACCTACAAACCATCTTACAAAGTTCGTTTCCGAGCGGGAGAGGGAGGGGTAGACGGTAGCCTCCTCCGATCAATTATCGAGAGTAGTAGTTTTGCCGCACACTAAACACCCGGGGAGGGGGGGGGGCGGGGGGAGGGGTATAACGCGCACGGAACCGGAACCATCGACAATCGGAGAATGTTCTTCCCGAGGCATTGACCTCGGAACTTCGGCTTCATTCGGCCACCTAGTCGCTGAGTGCAGGACCTTGTTCTTGCAGTCATTGAGGTTCCTTGTGTGTATTTTACGCGCACTACCATGGTTCCTTCTGTATCACACCTTAGAACCTGTTCTCAGGCATGGTCACTGAATTTTCTCAAACAATAAAGGGCCGCTTCAAAGAATTTTTTCAAGTACCACTTTGTGGTTGAAAACATTTGCGCCGGACCCAAGTGCGAGGGACCACGTGAATTTTCGCGCTTTTCCTGAAAGGTCATTACGTCCTCTTAGCAAACACAGCAAAGATAAGGTCCAAACATTTTTTGTCGTTTGATGGCTTTCTCGTAGTACTGCGACCATTTCGAGTGTTCTGGGAAGCGACTGAACGCGCCCGAGTTACGTATCTTGATTTCGCTGAGCTCTTCTGCTTTCAGGATGTGGTGATCTTCTGCAGAACAGAAATGCTACCAACGCAGAAACAGCCAATTTCCTCGAAAATCTACCGGAATACATGGTGAGTAATAATATTGCTGTGCAGATATCAGATATCATATGGAGACAGAAGATCTCAAAGGCGAAAGGCTCGCAGAACTGATATCACCCCAGTGCGTGAGCTCATGAAAAGGTCGTTGTGCTTCTTTCTGAACTGAAAAGAGGAGATAAGCCAAAGTTCTTGTTTTAGCTGCATTAATCTATTAAGAACCAGGGCACGTATCATAAGCTCCGTGGTGAAGTTATTTTGAACTTTCTCCAACATTTTGATTCCTTCCAGTTCATAAGCGTTGACTACAGCAGTATCATGCCGCAAAACTGACCTTATGGAAGTTGTGTGAGCTTGTAGCAGTACCGACGTGCTTTCCGTCGCAAAATCCAAAACATGTTATGATTTGTCCGTTTGTCCGGGCTGTTTAACAGTTTGTCATTGCTGTATAGTGTTCCTTAAAGTGAGCGACGTTCTTCAAAAAACACTAACTAACAGATTATTTCAGAGCAAAATTGAAGGAATTCATCGAGCTATAAAGGAAGGAGACTTGGAGAAGGTGAAGTCCCTGATGTCGTCAAAGAAGTTAGCAATAGGTGAGGAGCTGTTTGATTTTCTACTAGCTGCTTATTGTTAGTGGGAAACCCGTCTGGGAGATGGCTACCGTTGAGCATTTCACAAAGAAGAGAGTTGCCGCCGCCAAATCCAAATGAAGTTCGCAACTGCGTCTTCCCCGTCTCCGGGCTATGGAGTAAATCTATTGTGGAAGCAAATGCAAAGTTTAGCGAAACCCAGATAATTTTTTTCTCAACGTTCATATCTTATCTACTGTGGATAACGGGAGCGGACCACTAACGGTTTCATATATTTCCGTGGTCTGATTTCAGCTAGAGACCGGTTTGGCTGCACTCCATTACATGCAGCGGTGGTACATGAACACACGGAGATCGTCCGCTTTATCGCCTGGTCATTTCCCGTCAGTGCTGAACGCTCCTGACTACGTAAGGTTTCTTTCCTGATGACTCATGGCATTGTGTTACGATTGATACGCTTACAGAATAAACGTACACCGATGCATTATGCTGCTGCAGCTCGCGATGGTGGCCATTATCTGAAGATCCTGGGCAAAGCTGGAGCGGATCCAATGGCCGTGGACAATGTGAGGAGCATGAATTAGGCTCAGCGAAGGAATTTGCAAAAAGAAAATGTGCCCTTCAGGAAGGTCGTACACCGGATTACTACCGAAGGAACGCCGTCATCGACTTGAAGATGATCAAGGATCGGGATGAAGAGTATGAGGGGATGAGTGAGGAACTGTTGGATGAAGGACCATTGCTGGAAAGTCCTGGCAGTGGCGAAAGTGGATCGGAAGGGTAGGCTATCTACTGTTTTTTTCGATACAAACAAATGTCTCAAGCTGCCCCAGGAATTTCTTTTTTTCTTTGCACAAACACAAACCGATCAAGTGAACGAGATGGGAAATGGAGTGAACGAAGCAAATTCGAAGATAAAAGTGTATGTTTACCTCCGTGTAACTGCTCCTCGCTATGTGCTAACTGAAGGGGTCCGCACCTGCAGTAATGAGCCACTTCCTCGGCTCAGAAGTGCGCAGGAACGAGGCTAGAGGGCAGCGCACCCGGGGTTCTGTTCAGGACTCCGCCCAGACTGACTGCTACACCGCCATTCACGAGCCTAGCGGTAGCCAGACGCGCTGCTCATCTGCATCCTCTCTTGCTACTTTTGCTTGTTCCCTCCCTCTGCGTATATGTTTCGCTCCAGGGTCTTGGCATCGACACAACTGCTGGGCCTAGAGGATAGCACAGCGGCAGCCCAAACGGCAGCCAATGTAGCACTGCCATTAAGCCTCATTTCCGTGTGTGCCATTGTGCGAGGACCACTTTTCAGACCGGTAATCAGCGATTTCTCCTGTTTCTTTCACTTTTCCATGGATGTGTGTATTCTGTGCCTAAAAATGTGTTCTGATAACTTTGGAGCATGAAAAAGATGTCATAGACCAAATGAAAGGGCGCAGGGAGAAAAATGTATGACACACCATGTGTGTCACCCGGTCCGGAACGTGTTAAAGGTGACTGAACAGTTTGTCTTTGAAGTCAACAAGTAGACAGCTGACTGTCCCGTATGCTCCCCCACTAAACCTCCGCTGCCGATAGGGGCCATATTTGGAAAAAAAAGATCTCGGTACTTATCGGATACTGTAGAATGTTTTTGTTCAGCTCACCAGTAGATTCCGCCCGTCTTAACGATGAGGACGATGATACGGAACGGAATCGTTTTGAGCGCATGGTGCTTGGTCGCACCGATATGCCAACGTCGGAGAACGGCATCTACCTGGCACGCACTGTGGCACCAGTGCTCACAAAAGCGCTCGCCGAGGTTTGTTGTGAAAGCTGCATCGACAAACTGAGATCTTTAAGAAAAGCTTACAATTCAAAAATTCTCTTCAGGTGCTTCTGCGCCGTCCAGCCGACCCCATAGGCTTCATTTCGGATTATTGCAAAAGTATCATCGAGAACATCGCTCATACCGATCAAAGAAAGTTTGAAATGAAAGTGTTCAGAGTTAAATCTTGTATCCTTTATAAGTAGTTTTCATATTAGACTTGGACCATATTGTTACATGTTCAATAACACTCAGCGGCAATACGCCCATTTATCACCGGTAGATCAGATACTCATGTTTGATCACGTGTTACTAGTTTTTAGGTTTGAAGTAGCTAATAGATGCTAGCTATGGTCGCAGTCATATATGCCACTGCGGCAGTTCGGTGGATTGCTACCAGCTCAAAAAGCGCGCTCATAATTCCGCTGAATCTGCGCGAGATGAATATGAGCGATCGCTAATCCGCGCAGGGTGATGAAGGTATGCAACGCGCTCAAAGGGCCTTGTTGAACCGTTCTTGAGAATGTAAAAGAATTGTCATATGGACGGCGGAATTGCATTATTTCTGAGCATGCCCGTGTACGATGAGATTCAAATGGCAGGAAACAACTTAGAAGCAGTTTCCTCAAACATCCAAGCTGGTACCAATTCCGCCAAATATGATCCCACCAAAACGGAATAGGAGCCGCATAACGAGACAAGGGGTGAGACGTTGATTCTTTGTCGTCAACCCTCTGCGAATTTATTGGGGTTGTTCTTTTTACCCATGGCTGAAATTTGTAATTACATACAGTGAACCTAAACCCGTCATTGTAATGATTCTAAACTATACGTTATAAAGAGAAGATTGTGTATTTTGTTGGTGTTGCTCATCGAATTTCGACAATTCTTCAGTAGATAATTACTCAACCATAGGCACTTATGAGTAATGCAAGAAACAGCGAGCCTTTGTTGATAGTCAGTGCCGAGCTGCAGAATCGGAAATTAGGAGTCCCGAGAATTCGCGGAGCGGATCGGATGCTAATCGATTCGTTTGAGAAGATTTGAGCAGAATCAAAACCATACGCAGTCCCTTTTGTGGATTCTCCCATTTCCCGGATTATTTAGTTCACGCCGAATTAACGCCGCAGGCCCAGGTAGTCGCGAATTCCCGAAGCATGGGTGAAAACAGAAAAATTGATCAAGTATGGCGAAACGCCCTCTCGCAGTCTTCCCATCAAGGACGCTGGCAGCAACAGCCCGCCCCCAACCATCGTTCTCACTGGCTTTAGTCATATCGTTGTAATGCTGTCGTTTCAAAGGGCCATCCGAAGGAATACATTCTTTTAGCACGGGTTATTGCAGCCCTCCAGAAATCTCGTTCTTTAAAGGCAGTTGGCACGAGTTGTTTCCTAGTTTCGCCTAAATGTGTAAAGGAGCATATGTAGTGGGGAAATGGCGAAAGAACGGAGTGAAACGGTCAAAATCCGGTGAAGAAAGAGCCTTCGTTCTCAGTGACTTGTAAATCGATTTCGGACGAGTTTTCCCGTACGCATCTTGCAATCACCGCTACCGAAGATACGGCTGCATATGTGTACCATATATGCATGCAGCATCACCGCCGCTTCATACCAATCCCTTTGCTTCATAATTTGCTCAGCAAATGAATGAATACGAGCGTCAGAAACGGTCGTCCGTTTGTGGGCGGGCAAGGAAGGCGTTTGGGACGTAAAGTTGTTGCTCAATAGGGCGTTATAGAGGTACCCTCCTTGGAAAAGGCTTCACGCAGCGCCTGTCCGAGGTCACGGAATTCTGTTAAGCCAGTTGTACAAATTCTACACCTGTATAGCGATTTATCGTGAGACTGCCGTTAAAGCAGATATTTCGTGGCTTGTATGTCATAAACATCTGATATCCGATTACTTCAACTGACTCAGCACACAATTTATACTAAAAAAGAACACATTGTAAAATATAAACTATTTAATTCACAACAAGATACCTAAACTTCTTCAGATGAAACGAATATACGCATTGTATCAATTTTTACAGGGATGAACTCTTAGAGCTTCATTTTGTGATAGAAAAGTACCTCTAGTTCAGAATCATTATTGAGAGTAACAGACTGACCATTGTAGATGATCAGCATCACCACTCTCGAGAATGTCTCTCAATAACAACGAGCTTCTAAAGCATTCAAAATAATATTGACTATATGCAAGTAATCAGTATGGCACAGATAATTTTGACACAGTTTCCCTCAGACATGCGTTTGCACATACCAAAACTAGATTGAAAATGAGTGAGGCAAGAGGAACAGGTGTCTGATGGTTGATTATATGTAAGTTATTTTACAACCGCATATTCAGTCAAGCAGTTGATGTACATGTATTGAATGCAATCGTATTATGCACACAAGAACCTTCGAACTGATGGTGCTGAGGCAAGATAAGCCTCACTTCATGACTCGGTAGACGAGAATTGAACAGTTCATTTGTTTTCCTGCCCTGAAAGTAATACCTCACAATCTTAGTTCTTTCGAGTCAAGCTTGACTTTTATAAGGGGTAATAGCAAGAACACCACTTTCAATTCAACCTCATCATGCCTGACACGACTGAGCAGTTTCAGAAAGAAATCTGGAGATGACACATGAAAAGAGAACAAGTGACAATGGAAGGGTGGTAAATCAAAGTGGCCGCTCAGAATGAGATGCCTTGCCGTCAAACAGTGACTACTAATCCGTCTTCCATGAGTACCGCTGACTTCCGAACGAAGCTACGGACGCTCCTCAGGTGGAATCACTAAATCCAAAATGAGTTTTGGGTTTTTTTTAATCCAAAATGAGTTCAAATGTTGAGGTGGCTTGCAAGACGTTACAATCGAAGTGCAGACATGATGCCAGCCACAAGTGTTGGACACGAAAACACATACAGAGCAGCTTTCGAGCCCTCGATAACCCGTACTGAACTGTTGTGTTGATTTATCCATGAAAACCTCAGGAGGCTGCGTTCACACTTTGCCGTCAGCAAATTTCTGAGGCGTACGCCAGCGTATGGCAGCGTTTCAGCGACTAGGAAAGAACAGATATCGACCTAGGGTTCTGAAAGGACGTCAGCGTTTTTGGCGACTGTCCATGAAAAAACCTGAACTATCCACGAAACTCTCAGGACGCATGATCGACATTTATACTTCCCATGACGCTCAAAAGGCTAGTACGCTGACGTATGTTCAGAAGGCTTGATCGACTTCACTACTTTCCTAACCGTAGGCTATCATACATTTCATATTCAAAACTGTGCCGCACGCTCAAAATGCCCAACGAAGGGTATGAAAGCAGCCGTCTAAGCTTGTTTGGAGATGTTCACAGCAGATATGGAAGACGGATTCGTAATAAGTGTTCAAAGAAACATCAGTGGGTATACACCTCATTTCAAACGGCTTTTCTGGATTACCATCGAGACATGGCGAGACAAACAAACCTTATATAGTGCTCTGCGAACTTTTTCCCGACATCAGTTGGATCACTGAATGCGATCCTGAACAGTTTACTTACTCTAGCTTATTCATTTTCAGAGACACTAACCAGCTTTCACTTTCAAAATATAAGGGACCAACCTGTTCCGTGGTACGATCACTCCTGTGAAGTACCAGTTCCTAATGACGTCAAGAATCTCACTCGCAATGCCCCTTTTTCTGGCAGTAGGATGTGTCCACAGCCGATTCACACCGATCATGGGATCGTCAGCGCAGATAGTCTTAATTGCGGAAAAAAGTTGACAAGGAACGAAAGGCGGAACAGGCATTGACAAGGATGTTACCTCTCCAGTTGTCAAACACTGCGCAGATGAAAGAGGCTCTGTCACGACAACACCAGCAATATGGTGAGAAGAACCCTGAAACAATGTTCTTTCACTTTAGTAATAAACAACCAGGCTTGTGAATAGACTATAATATCGCATTTTTCGGACTTTCATATAAAACACTGCAGCGGGCCAGTCAAAGGTATTTACCAGTCCTGCACAGGAGAAAAGTCTATCGCAATGAAGAATCAGCTCGGAAAAAGCAAAAATAATGGGAGTGGAGTGGAATCGAAGAATCGTGAACAGGGGAAGCTTTGGTTATTTTCGAATTCTCCAGATCGATAATTATTCTAGTCTTCTCGCTCGCGAATACTCCAACTCTCCCAGTTTCACGATCCTTCAATACCGCAAGGTATTGATCCTGGTCCTAGACATAGTCTTGAACATTCCCGCGACCAAGTCGCGAATCATGAACGCACTATTGTGTTAGCCCAGATAAGTGAAGTATATGACCAACAGTAAGATTGGCAGGCCTCCTGCCAAAATCACAATGAACGAAAGACAGGAGAAAATAAGAGAAAACTATAACGAAAGAGTGATCAAGTTACTATTTCTGAGCGAACATCGCCTTGGGGGTATTTCAGATTCGTTGTGGAAAACTGGTCCTACGTAAAAGGAGATAAAGATTCCT